TAGGTTGCAGGTTTTTTTATTATTTATTGTCGATCATGTTTGTCAATGAATTAGTAATTGAAAGCAGTAATTTAGATCTTACATTAAATGAAATATATATAATGATATACTATTTTTTAATGCTATATATATATTCGATCTCTGATAATAATATAGCAAATTCCAATATTTTTCTTTAATGTGTGGGTTGGTATTATGTTCACTAAATAATGTAATAGATGAAGGGCAACGGTTGAATCATGTTATTTTCTCTCTCCTAGTATCACTTTGTAATTACTTATTGGACCTATATATTGCAAGGTAATAAACCTCAAGAGAGGTTAGTGTAATTTTTAAAACTTAAAAAGTGATCAATGGAATGGTTAGAAACCTTAGAGGAGGTTTCTGAAATTGTCCCTAAAAAATAATTAAACTTAACAGGGCAGAAGCTCCACCTCCCGTAAATAAAGTCTTTCTTGAATCATGTCATGAACTGATGAAAGTAGTTTTAAAAAAAAAAAAAACTTATCCTTAACAAGGAACAAATAGCCAACAACGTAATTATTTATGGAAATTGTCTTGTCATTAATTATAACCCTTTGACATCATCGCCCAATGTGAACAGATAGGCTAAATGTGAACGGACTTGTACCATTAATACGAACACCATTGACTGGTGATTTGTATCATAAACATCAGAAGAACTTCTTACAACGAGGGAGGGAGGGAGGCTGGGCGGGAATAAAAGGATCCAATTGGCAAATGCGAATTGTTCCAGTCCAGAACTAGGCAGCAGGATGCCAAGGGTGCTAGTCAGACTCAGATATGACCTCTAGGGAATTTGCATTAGCAGGTTCGAATGAGAAAACACCTTCTTAATTTGCACTAAAACACAAACCTTGACTTACTGTATCCACACTTTTTCAAGTCGTCCAAGTTGTAGAAGTTCGTAATTATTTTTTCGAATTAGAATTTGGCCTTAATACTTTTTATTTTTGTGGAAAAAGAAGAATCACAAGTTTTCCCATCAAACATGAATCTTTAACAGCACTTCAAGCAGTATCTAATGGAAGTCGACTTCTTTAAGTCACCCCTAATATCAAACTATATAAGTTATTTATATTATTGTTCTGTCTGCTTTCACATTCAACAACCTTACGATACAGACATATCCAATTGTAAGATAGAAAATAGATAGAACCCCCCCCCCCCCCCCCCAAAAAAAAACCCCCACAAAAAAAAAATAACAAAACATGATTAAAAAAAAATACAAGCTGATTAAGTTGGTTCAACAGAACCTTATTCATTTTATATAAAAAACTTTTTTTTTTAATTTCTGTGTAGAATGGAGAGTTATGGATTTAAATTTGGCTTTCCAATAATGCAAGGGTATATGCTAAAACTTGCATCTAAAAGACTTTCGTGTGCTTAGAATCTGAGGTGTAGAATATCACAGGTCGTTGCAGTCTACTTGGAATCGTTTATTTGTACAAATTGCAATCAGCTTGATCACTTAATTAATGCATTCGGCTAGCTTGTTTTCACATTCTCCGATAAAGGCGCGGGAATAGATGCATAGAAAATAGATAGAACCCAACCCATTGCATTTTGTTTAGGGCAAATTATCCATTTGGCCCTTGAACTTTTAGTTTAAGTAAAATTAAGCCCTCTAACTATTTATAGTCAACTTTCAACCCTTAAACTTGTAAAATTGGGAATCTGTGGCCCTTTTACCTAGTTTATCCGGTTTGCAACCGAAAAATCAAATCACACGAATGACAATATGCTTTAAAGGAGGGCATTTTTGTCCATATATTCTAAGCAAAAATTGAACAGCTTTATCTTCTTCCCTTTCCCTAACCCAACCTGCCATCGACGGAAGATCAGCCTCCAAGAACCCCAAGACTTACAAATACTACAGTAATGCCATCATTCAGAGATTCAGGGACAACCCCTCCTCCTCCCCCCCCTCCCCCAACAAAAAAAATCACTTTTTCCGAAGTCCGCAAGCCCATCGTTGGAGACGTCGGCTCCATTCCAGGGTTTTTGATTTCTTGGAAGTCTGGGGCTTGATTAATTACTCTCCCTATTCTTCTTCTTCCTCTTCTAATAAGGCTGCCGCTGCTTCCCCAACAACTCTCCCACAATGACAGCAAGGACTCCTCCTCCTCCGCCACCAAATCTGCTAAATTCAAGGAGGAAGCATACTCCTCAATTCCAGCTGTGAACACCACAATCTCAAATTTATTACTCATGAACTCCAAAAATTCTTCCACAAATGGCCTCTTTAACACGACGAAATCCACTCTTTCTCCATCTATCACCGGCCTAACTATGAAATCATACTTTTCTAGAGCAGGGCCCGGCTGGGAATGCACCAGAGTCTTGTCCAAATCAAGAAAGACTGTGTTTTTCTCTGGCGAAACCAGTGGTGGAAGTGCAGAACTTTTTTCGTCATGAAACAGAGCTCTTCTGATGCTACTTTTGGGATCTTCAGAACCCTTTTGAAGTAACTGATACCCCCGTTTTCTTAGGCTCTTCTTCTTAATTGGATTTGAAATGCGCGCTAATTTGGAGAAAATCTTGATGAGGCGGTGGTGGCAAGTGTAAATGGACTTGTTAATCGACGCAAGCACCACTAAAGCAGCGGCGGAGGCATTCTTTACGGGGGATTTTTTCGGTGTTGGTGGCTGTGGTGATGGTGGCGCGAATTTTTTATGGACTTTGTTGGGGTTTTCTTCACAATCTTGGACACCATTTTTGTTGGATTTCGAGGAGAAGATCGACAAATCAAGACGAAAGGGGAAAGGAAGAGTGGTTAATTGATGCGATTTTTAGTGGGGAAAGGAGTATGTGGGGAAACCAGGAGAGAATAGAGTGGGCAGTTTTAAAAATTTTGCTTAGAGTCGGACTTAGTTATCCCCAATTTGCAGAAGCTTAAGAACTCTACAAATCTGTGCCTATTTGGTTGGGTTAGGGAAAGGGAAGAAGATGGAGTTGTTCATTTTTGTTTAGAAGATGCGGACAAAAATGCCCTTCTTTCCGGTTGTAAAACCGGATAAACTAGGTAAAAGGGCCACGGGTTTTCAATTTTACAAGTTCAAGGGCTAAAAGTTGACTATAAATAGTTAGAGGGCTTAATTTTACTTAAACTAAAAGTTCAAGAACCAAATGGATAATTTGCCCTTTTGTTTATGGGTATATTATTCCACCTGAATTTCTTATCATCGACTAAGGGTCTTTCTCGACAAAATGATGGAACTTTACAGGTCAAGTTCACATGTTGCCTCACTTACTTTACTAGTCTTTCTCTGCCTGGTTCCGGACTTAAACAAGTCCCATTTCCAATTGGGTTGATCTCTTGGTTAAAAAGAATAATATATATTAGCGGTCAGAAGTTCCACTAAAACTATATATTGAAAAAAGCATATCCATTTGATCCAAATCTTGCAACGGATAGACCCAAAAAAAAAAAAAAAAAGAAGAAGAGAGAGAGAGCAAAAGAAAGCCTATGAAGATGTTGGAAAATTATATTGTGACTTTGACATTTGAAAATAATAAAAAATAAAAAATAAAAAAAACCACACCGGCCACTATACTTTTATTGAGACTAATAATGTGAACATTTTACAAAAGAAAAAAAAATTGTAAGAGATATCAATATTGAAGTTAAATAAGCGGGGGGGGGGGGGGGGAGAGAGAGAGAGAGATGAATGTTGGAGCAGCAAATAATTGTTTTTCTCTTTGAAAATTCCAATGGTTGAAAACAAGGAAAGTTTTTGAATTATGTAGCAACATCTAAAATGGACTAAGGGAAGAACTTAAATGGCACAAAAATAATGCTAAGAACTATACTACAAAAAGCCCTAAATCATTAACCAACGAAAACAGCCAAAACGAATATCTCAACTCTCGAGATACTTATAAAATAATTTAAATATTCATGATTTGTAGAACATGTAAAATAATTTTAAAAAAATATGCATTAATCGATTCCAAACAACCTCTACGCTCTTTTTTAGCAAACGAAGCATGACAAGTAAATGCACTTAATTATTTTACGTGCACATATATGATTTATAAATTACTGATCTCTATACAAAAAAATTGACACCAAAACTCGAATTTGCATCTGGATTCAATAAGATCCGAGGGATTCTGATATAAATCTGCTCGTACAAGCCTATGCCCATTATCCAGATCCAAATCTAGTATGTCAATCGGATCCCAGTCTGGGTCTCCTTGTTTCAGCTAAAACCGACCCACTTAGACCAGAAATGTGAAGGTCAATAATGTCGGCATAATTTTTGTCCCTCGTCAAAAATATTAGCAACGGTTGCAATACAAAAGACGGGCACCAATGCGCAATGGTTCTTAGAATTTTAAACTGCTGGATGCTCAGCTTTGCCTTATTCGTTCTTGTCAACTGCTGGATCCTTCCTCTCCTATCTCCTTTCATCCGTCAAAACCGCTTCTTCTGGTAATAATTTCGAAGCACATAACAAATCAATGGCTTCCGTATTTAATAGCTCAACAAATTAAATAAACCGCAGAATCTATCACTGCTATGGTTCTCATGCATATTTGAGCTCCAAAACAGACAGTAGCTTCAACCAGTTCCGATACTGACTATATAATTAGTTGCAGAAAGCAATGGATCCTGAATTGCGTAAACTTGCACAAAAAGGGATGAATCCTGATTTGTACGCAGCTGCACAGTTAGGTAATTGGGCTGTAATTGGAAGATTTTCGGGCAAGTTCCTGGCTCAGAGGACTCCAAAAAGAAACACTGTCCTTCACGTATTAGCCCAGTCCCGCGACTCTGCAAATGTAGTCCAAAGCATCCTAGCGCGAAATTGCTGTTTGCTAATGGCAAAGAATGCTCGTGTGAGACTGCACTTCATCTGGCCGCAAGAAAGGGGCATTCTGGCGTTGTTCGAGCACTTATTGATTATAGTAAACAGAACAAAAGATGTTGGTTTTGTGCCTGTTTTGTCGACAGATGCAAGAGGATGCTGAGGATGACTAATGTGGATGGAAACACAGCTTTACACGAGGCAGTTAAGAACAACTTCTATGAGGTTGCTAAGTTGTTGGTTCAACAAGATCCTGAGTTCAGATATCGGCCCAATCATGCTATGGAGACTCCTCTATATCTCGCAGTTGAGAAGGGATATCGGGATTTTGCGGTTCTGATTTTGACGACTTCCAAGTCACCAGCTTATCTTGGCCCCGGTCACAAAACCGCCCTTCATGCAGCAGCAATATGGAATTTGCCAGGTACATTACATTACTAATTTGCATCAAGCAATGAATATAATCACCAAAAGAAAGGAAATTTTTTGAGCTTTTTTTTTTCTTTGATGTTTTTCTTTCTTCACACGTTGGAGAGGTATTATCAGGGTCCTCAAGAATTTTCAAGGACAACAATCGACCAACCAATGACTAGAGGAAACCAAAAAAAAAAAAAAAAAAGGGTTGCTCAAGATGGTGCTTTTAATTTTCAACTCAAATGGGACAGGCTGATACAGCCAGCTCTGAATGAGACGAGTCATAAATGAGAAGTCTCTGTCATAAAAATTAGAGTAAAATACACTTTATCCCACTGTCATTCAATGATTTTTCACATAACTCTCTTTAGTTTCAAAAACAATATACAACCCGATCATAATTTAAATTAAATTATCAAATGACGAAAATGATGCTTTGCAATTGAACCTACGGATATGTCGAGATTACTCTTATTTAAAAACTAAAATGGTTTAAGTGATCAAAATATATAAACATAATCTGCATGACACTTTAACCTCTTATGGTTCTATATTTTATTATATAACTCTTTTATGATTTATTATTTTACCACGTAACCTCCTTATGGTTTTCAAAATATATACATAATTTCTCCGTTGTTAATAAATAATTTTTAATATTATATAGGGTACTTTTGACATTTTAGTTAACTCTATTATAGAATACAAATTTCATTACTTTAACATTTTAGTTCAACTCATGAAAGAATTATGTATAGCTTTTGAAGTTACAGGGTATTATATGAAAAAGTGCTAAATCACAAGGGATAAAGCATATTATACCTGAAAGATTAACATCCAACTTTAGCTTTTCTTTTTTTAGACCAATTAAAAGAAAGCAACACATTCAACATTAACAAAAGGTACTTTTTCCAAGTCCATTTGAGAATGACTTACAAGGAAAAAATAACAAGGAAAACAACAAGGAAAAAGTGACTTACATGCCTTCGAAGTGCATTTCAAATTGAAAAAAGTTATTCACATCCAAAAACATTAAAAAAGATTGTATTGTAATCAATGAAACCTCCTTGTAATATAGACAACTAGGAAATTTCCCGCCGAGATTTGTAAATGTCTTCAATTTTACATAGGGATGCTATTCTACCACATCCACCATCATGGAACCAGAAATTGAGTATTGAGGAAAGATGTATGCTTGATGGTGTATTTTTTAGATTTCCGTAAAAATCTTGGGATCAGAACTCTGATATTTACGAGGAAAAATGTTAATTTACTAGAGTTTAAGACATGAGCTTTTTTTAAAAGTGAATTTATTGAAAATTGAGATTTAGACTAAAAAGTAATTATGAGTTGCTGAAGTTAAGAGAAGAATAACAGGGACAAATGGATTTTGGAGCAGTTGTGAGGAAAAAAAAAATAAAATTGTAGCCTTGCAGAAAAAAAAATGTGCTCGGTTTTGTAAATTATTGGCACATGCTGTTTTGAATTAAAAATTCCTACTACTCATGCAATAGCAAATTTGGTCTTTCGATAATCTCAAACGATCAAATGATGAGTTGACTTAGTGAACATACTAAAATGGCATAATGACTTAGGTGGCATTTGTTCGTTACTTGGAATCGGATTCGGATTTGGGATCATCACATTTGGGTTTGGAATGGAGTCAGTTATTCCAATACATCTATTTAGTTTCAGTAGTAGAAATGCATATCATTACTGTAATTGATATTTTGTTCGTTGACTCTTTCGAAATATGAGAAATTTCCACTAATTAAACGTATAAATTTAGATAGAACTAATTAATAATTTCTATTTAGTAAACATATATAATTAATAGTATAATTGATAATATCAATTATATTACATATACAAATATACATTAATAATAATATAACTAATAATATCATTAATAATTTGTCGCTAATTAAATTAAATATTATATATAAAATTAATAATATTAATAATATATATAATTAGATTATATAAATATATAATATAATTATACTAATATATTATATAATTAAAATGTATATTATATATTAAATATAATTATAATTATAATGTATTATTATATACACATATACTATAATTATAATAATTATTATATATTAATATATTTATAATAATAAATGTAAATATAATTATATTTATTATAAATATATTATATAATTATAATATATAATATATATAATTATATGTATGTATATAATTATCTATTAATTTTTTAATGGGTGGAGGGTCGGGCCCTATTTATAAACTGGAAAACAAATTGCTCCCCCCCTTCCTTGCGGCCTATTAACCCCCGCGAGGTAGATGCCTAATTGCCATCCCTGGTTTTCCATAAATTAGATAAGAATCAATCTTGGTTTTGTCCAAAACCCATCAAGTTGTTAGGTAATTGGGGAACTCCAAATTTTTAAATATGATTACAAAATCCAATTCCAATAGTAGTAATCCAAACAACATTTATGGAGTTTATTCCAATTCTCCATTCTAAAACCTCTTGTCAAACGCCACCATAGTATATGATTTATCTATTGGAGGGAATGGTAGCGATACGATATCCTCTGAAATCTTTTTACTAAACTCTTACCCATTTAGATAAGTCCGTTACCGAACTATATTAAGTAACTCTACTACCCATTTAGGTAAGTCCTTACTAAACTATATTAAGTAACTCTACTAGCTTAATTCCTGTTACTAAAAACTGCTTGCTCATGGGATTGGATTAAACCATGGGGTAGCATTTAGCACTCCTTAAACTCGTCAAATCAATCATGAAAATACATGCATCTAAATAGTTGAAAAATCTAGAAACTGATTTTGTTAATTTAAAATTTGAATACATCAAAATCTAAACACCCCATCAGAGTAACAATAGGGGATAAACTCAAAGTTTAACAATCCTATCACATATATTTTTTTTAGCCACTTGAAGTGGCCTGTCAAATTTAGTAGCAAATGGTGGAAGGTAGGGTTTGAACCCCGATCAGTCTTAAGACTTTGGTGGTGGCCACTGAGCTTGTGGTTATAACAATCCATCACATATAATATCCCATCACATATAATATAGCAAAAAAAATATCACTCCAAAGGTCATGCTCAAATGGTCAAAATGAATAGGAACTAAATGCTACAAGAATCCCTTTTATAAGATAAATTGGTACATTCTTTCTTCTGACTCCCGGTCATGAAATCGTATATTCTTTCTTATGATTTAATCCGTCATCTTCAATGGAAATAAACTTCAGTCATTTCACTTTTGACTCCTCTTAAGCATTAGACATGAGAATAAGAAATATGAAGTGAAAAGAATAGTTTTCTAATCAAACGCTTGAATAAGTAAAAACAAAAATAAGGAAAGTAGAAGGTATGAATGTACTTTACCTCCAATTGGATTCCACAATTGGTTGCTGATCACATTAAACCTTTCAATGTGTTTGGTTGAAATCAAATTCCTTATAAGCTGACCACACTTTCCCTGGTACTAAAAGCAGAGTCAGGTGCACCAAAGAAATAGGAACGGTAATGAAATCTCTAAAAATCAATAGCAAAGTAGGACATTTCATGGAAGGTTATGATTTGTGTTAGTGTTATGTGCTAATGGCTTGTAAGATTGAAACTTGATAGAATATATATGTATACACACATATACACACACTATTTTATAATCTGGTTTTTTCCTATCCGTTGCCATTCCTATCTATTAATCATAAATAACTAATCCTAAAATGACAATTTGAAGTTTCACTTGAGTACATCTCAGTTATTGTAATTGATTCTTATGGTTTAATGAACTACAGTATCTTTAACTAAATATCTGCTGATTGCAGAACTCGTGAGCTGATTTTGGAAAAGCTGCCTAATCTTATATCAAAAGGTGGATAAATTTGGATGGACTGCACTTCACTATGCTGCTAAACTCAATCATCCGGCTAAACTCAATCATGAAGATGTGGTAAAGCTATTATTATCTGCTAAGAGGTCTACGGCTTATGTTGCTGCCCGCAATGACGACTCCAGGACTGCTCTACATATAGCGGTCATTCATGGACATGTTGCTGTGGTGCAAGAGCTGTTATCCATTGCCCAGATTGTTGGGAGAAATATACTCACAGACGTCAGAATATCCTTCACCTTGCAGTAAAATATGAACAAAGAGAAATGCTCGATTCGTCCTGAAAAAATCTTGGCTTCTGAACTTATCAATCAAAGGGATAATACAGGAAATACTCCTCTCCACCTCTACGTTGCTACCAAAAACTTAGATGGGAGTAGCCTTGTAAAACACCCTTCTGTCGATGTCATTCTTTTGACAATTCGAACTCCACGCCTTTAGACAGAATATTACGGGCAGATGAACTTTCACAAAGACAGGTATAAGATAAAAAAAATTTTTCCGCTCCTTTGCATGGTCACATTGATTATTAGAAAGTTCTGTCAATTTTTCATATATGATACTTGACTTACAAGATTTTACTTTTAGAAAAATAAGAAACTTGATTTTGTAAGTTATGAATATTCTTAGCCACTAATTCTCTCAAGTCCATCGTTACTATATTTGCTTATACTTAAATTTGAGGTATTTTTACCCCTATTTTCAGACACTCATTTTTAATATCTTAGGCCGTGCGTCTGCGATGCTACTGGAATTCTTTCAATTTGTGTAGAAAATATTGTGATGTACACTTACATCATATTATTGTTAAGTCTTAAGTTTAGTTTTTTTTAAAAAAAAGGTGTTAATTTCATTCATAAATACACTAGACATTTTTAAAAAATACTACACCAAATCCTATAGAAAATACAACAATTGAACTCAACCTCACCAATGTATAAACGCAGTTGCTGCATGGCTCTTTATAAACCAAGAAGAACATAGTATGTTTTATGAAAAAGCAAAAGAAGAAGAAGAAGAAAAGAAAAGAAGCGCTGTTTTCGCTTTAAATTTCAAAGCTAATTTAAGGAAAAGTAGTGCTGTTTTCGTTTTTAAATTTCAAAACTAATTTCTTAAACTCGTGTTTCTATTCTCTTCTTAGACTGTCCCCCCCCCCCCCCCCCTCTCACATCATGTCTGCTTGAATGTAAATTTTCTATTTGATTTCTAATCAATATTACTAACTTACTTGTTTAACTTTCCTCGTCTAACTTACCTCTCAAAATTCTCCCCACTATTAAGTTTACTGTTTAACATGAACATTTTAGTCCATACAAAATTTGAAAACATGATGCTTTCAACCGGGCAAATCAATGATGGTTTTGCATATTATCTAACATCCTTATCTATCACGTGCAAGTAGTGTTGGAAGAGTCGCTTCATATTTTAGCGGTCCAATGCAATCAGCGACCTCATTGTTACAATTTTGTTTCTCAATTCGTGTTTGACAGATTTTAATCAAGGATGAGTTGGAGCAAGCGGGTGGCACTCGAGGGTATCGAAATGTTGCTACCGTAAAGAAGAACTTACGAGTATCTAATCCTGATGAAGTAAAAAGAGTGGAAAAATTGGCAGCGAATTATTCGATTGTGGCTACACTGATCGCAACTGTCACTTTTGCAGCTGGTTTTACAGTTCCAGGTGGGAACTACAGTGACGGTCCGCACAAAGGCATGGCAGTTCTAAGCAAGAAAGCAGCTTTTATTACATTTGTTATTTCAGATTCCTTGGCAATGTTCGCCTCCATAGGTGCAGTGCTTGGACTTACCGTGCTCTTTCAGACAAAAATTACCGGCTTAAGTTGGCCATTGTCCGGATAAATCGGAAGCGAATTTTTGGGGCTGTGATGTTAATGATGATAGCATTTCTCGCTGGCTTGTGCGCAGTGCTACCAAATTTGGCTGTCATGATCGTGCCGTATGTCCTCGCTGCTTGGCTTGGCGGTCTCATATGCTTCACCTTTTCCCGAAAATTCGAGGGCAGGGAATGTAACTATACAACTAGATTTAATCATAGCGAAGCTGAGTATGGAATATTTTACCCTCTACGTCTATACACGAGATGGTATCAGGATTTGACCGAAGCCGAGGACTAGTTGTGTTATAATTCAATGGAACTTAATCAAAAAATTTGATTCTTTTTTTGCTATCAGAACTTGCAGCTCCCTCCCACTTTCGTCCAACAACTTGGGTTTTTATTATGCTTTGGATTGGACTTGAAAATGTACAGTGTGATGTTTACTTTTTGTATATATAAAATAGACTCCATTTTAAGGGTGAAAAAATAACAGTGTGGTTAGGCTATCCAGCCCAGCAACTGTAGAAAGGAACGGAATCACGGAAGCTTCCTTGACAATTGGTCTTGACAGAGGATTAAGCGGGTAATGCTGTTTGTCCTCCCTCCTCCTCATAATTATTATCCTGATGTTCTTCTTGCAGAGCGCTTGGCGTTCTTTCGTTTTCCGCGCTTAAGACTTGCTGAGTTTTTAGGTTATGCTCTGCAGGAGTGATCTCTTTTTTATTATCCCTGTTGTCATAGTCCAGGACTTTTGTAATAAGGAAGGAAGGGAAGAAAAGGAGCAATGGCGGTGAAAATAGACCTTGAGAAGACCTATGACAGAATCAGATGGGAGTCTTCTCCCACGGCTAGAATCTCTTCTTCTTAAAAGGACCGGGGATGCGGCTTCGATCTTGCTTTAGTTTGAGTTCGATCGAGCTAGAGTTTTTCTTATTACAGGTGTAACCTAAAAAAGAGCGAAGTTACTGGAGGCGATCAGCTCAAAGGCATAGTTCCCTATTCCCCTTACCCCATCGTTCACTGCGGGATAGGTATAGCTTTTACACGGGAAGAAAAGTACTCATCAAAGCCATGCTCCAATGCATTCCCACCTTCACCATGGCCTGCTTGAAACTACCCAAGTTTGCCAAAGGCCTCCTTCCTTTCCAGAGTGAGTTTTCATCTCTTACTACTCTAAAAAGTATTCAAAACAAGTTCCATTCGCTTCCCCTCGCCCTCTCCAACCAGTCGAGTACTTAGCCCCGATTGAGTGCTCTGCTCTCAATGGCAGGCACTCACTTTCACCCACCTTTATATTGGTGGAGTCGAATGGATAAGGTCTTTGGGTCTAATCCCCAGCTATATGTTTGAAAACTTGAGGAGCTCCTAGTTTCCCCGTTATTCATTGCAGTGTTTTTTATTTGTTTGCAATATCGGAATTAATTAAATTTAATCCTTTCGATTCGGTATCTGAAAAATTGGCTGGAAGAACTGCTACATAATTTACATTATATCTGTATTGCAAAAAATAATTGCAACGGAAGAAAATAAAAGTGGAGGAACTTTTGTATTTTTGCAACGGAACCTTAAAAAAATAATTGTGTTTGCAGGGGGTTTTATCTGTATTGCAAGGAACCAAAAAAAAAAAAAGCATAAAGGTATTGGAGCAGTTGGTTTTTCAAAAAATCAATAAATTAGTTGATAAGCACTGCAAAAGGGAAGTATATTTCAAGGATTCAAAACCTCACGAGTTGAGTTATCATTCAATTCAAACTGATTATGAAATTCTCACATCTGGTGTAAATTAGCATGAATTTGATGTAAACAAACCCAAAATTTGTACAAAAATCTTGATGTGGTTCGATTAATTTACACCCAAATTATATTAATTTACACTCGATGTGGTTCGATTCACACAATTAATTTGAATCAGAACTTATAAGGCCCCAAATCCGGTGTCCAGGAACCGCGACAATCACGGTAGATTTAGATGAGGATGTCGTCGGATTTCTCAACTCACAAATTGGGTAACAGGAAACGTTGATGCAGCTGCAAGAGATGAGGCATTTCGTACCAATGAAAAATAAAAAATAAAAGACGGGGCATTCATATCAGGGAGGACAATGGGGCCATTGTCGGGCGGACGCAATTAGACGAAGACCCAATTCAAATTTTAAGTCCATAAAAAGTCTGAACGGAAATTTATAGGAGTGAGGCCTCATGGGGCTGCAAAAGTGAGTGGATCTAATGCTTAAAAAAAAAAAAAAAAAAATAGTGGCTGGATCTAAAACAGCATCTGGACCTCTCAATATCGCTTCATCAGCAGCCTTCGACCACAACTTCAAATTCGTCTTTGTTCCAAAGGCCATGAAGTATCAATAATTGGGGGAACAAGGAAGAATCATGTAAAATTTAAAAACGGAGAGGAGACGAGGGAATTTATTAGTTAAATTATATACCATCATAAACACCGAAGGCCATGAAATTGTCGAATGATTGAAGTCAGTACCTAGATTTAGAAGTCAAATCTTCCTTATGACTCCTTAAATCCCATCCATTCTCTATTAAATAGAAAAAAAAAAAAAGAAACCTTGAACAAAAAATGGTAACTGAAGTTTGACTAAAGAAATATAAGATGTAAATACATGGGGATGGAGCTATAAATTTTTGACAGTAAACAAAAGATCTATAGATAGAAATAGTGCATGTACTTTATTAACAAAGATCAAGAAAACTAATAAGAGAAAAAGAAATATATTTTACTTGATCAAGAAATGAGATGTAGGATTAAATTGCTGCATGTTAAATTTTGTTGAGGACTAAATGCATCATTTTATGATTGAAACAATAAAATAACAATAACAGGGGAAGGGTTGGATTGGATGGTAAGGTAGGAAAGATTGTAAGTAGGACGTTTTAACTTCAAAACCTATCACTTACACACAAAAAAAAACTAAAAGGAACAATAATATCCAATTGAAAATTTTCCTTTCCATTAATTGGTAGTAGTATTAGTAGGTAGTGAGAGGAAGAAACTACTAATCGTCAATGGGCTAGCTTCTAGGCTTAGAGGTGCATAGACAATGCCAACCTTATGGGCCAAAACAGCTGAGCCGAGCAAATACACTAACAATGCCCACAAAAGGACCTCTTTTGGATCTTCAAATAATCCTGATGAAGGTGATAGTGAGCAAGAGTTTGTGTAACACTTGCCACAGAGTTGGTTTTTCTGATAAGATTTGTACTTCTTGTGGTAGGCTTCAAAGCGCACTCTCCTGCAGTCTTGCCAATTCAAATTGCTTTTGGACAACGTCTCAGAATTGTGAGTCTTCACCATTGATCTTAACTCTTCTGGCAAGCCACTCAAAAAACCGAAAATGTAATAAGTTTTAGATAGGTGTGGGGCTCTAATCATTACCTCTTGTAGTAGTTCTTCAAATTTCTCTTGATAGGCTAACACTGTGGAGAAGAGCTGTAACTTGTTAAACTCCTCCATTGGATCTATTTGCCTAAGGCACCAAATCTCTTGCACAATTCCCCAGAGTACTCCACCCAATCTACCTTATTACCCCTAGTCGATCTAAAACCTTGATGCCACACATCTGCTTTGTCTTCCATGTAAAATTCTGCTATCTCCATCCACTGATCCATGGAAATCTGTAAAAGCTGGAAATACTTCTGAATTTTCTTGATCTATTCTCTAGGGTTTTCTCCCCTAAATGCTGGAATTTCCAGTTTGGGCACACTAGTATAGAAGGCGCTCCTGCCATTCCTTTCACCCTGCTTTCGATTTGCCATATCTAAGTTCCTTGAGTTACTCACCACTAGGGATCCCAATATTCCTTTTTTATTGTTACCAGGGCTCAAATTGGCAAATTGCTGAGAGATGGCCGCCATGAATGCGTCCAGCTTATTACTCAGCTCAACATTCACTGCATCAATCCTTTCTTCCAAGCTTTTCTTGTCGATCGCCATGGAATCCACGATTCCTTGAATTCTGGTTTCTTGTCTGCGAAGTTATTCCTCCATTGTTTTCATCCGTGTTCCTTTTGCCATTATGATATGTTGGTTCCAGCTTCCTAGTCCAAGGACCGGAAGCTCTGATACCACATATAGTGACCTGATCAGTAGGAGAATTGAAGAGGGAGGATAACATCAGAAGAAGAAGAATAGAGAAAAGGAAACGTGGGAAGGAAGAAAGAGCAAGAGAATGAAGGAGAAGAAGGAATCTGTAATTTGTTATATCTGTTATGCCTTCATCACGCCATTTGCAGGCTCTTTATACAAATTTCTTTCTGGATCCTTCTATGCTCAACTAACTACACAACAGAATAGACATATATGACAAGCTAGTAACTAACTTGCTAACTAACTATATGAAAAGAAAGCCACGTCAACAACAATAATCTTCATGCTTCTGATGAGCAATATCTAGGGTCATAACATTTGTATTCGAGCAAAGCTCCATTTTTTTCTTTTTTTTTCCTCACCAGAGATCTAAGGAATAGCACGACATATATAGTGCATAACTTGTTTAGTATGACATTAGGCCTGTTATCGAGTTGGGTCGGATCGAAATTGAAAATTTTGGACTTGGACCCATTTCAATGTATTAGACTCGGATCCGACCAGTATACTCGATAGGTCTTGTACTTAAGATTCCGAAATCAAGTTCGACGGGTCCGAGTCAAGTCTGAGTCTACCCGAAAACAAAAGATCTAACATGCATCATTCATTTTCTTTTATCCATACTAGCAAAAAGGTTCAACATGATCCCAAAATTTTAGCAAAAAACACTTATATGCAACTTGTGATGAATACATTTTGGGTCAAACAAGCTTGTCTCTTCCAAATCCTAATTTCTTAGATACTTCATCTGGAATACGGGTAATTTGGTTAATTTGGTAAAAGAATACTTTGTTAATATAGTAAGAGAATGTATTTAGAAATATTTATATTTTATAATTATTAATATATTGTTCGAGTTCGAGTCGGAATCCTATATTCCACATCCAATCCATTTTTTTGTTAAAGTAAACGGGTACGAGTTTGAGTCCGGTACCGGTACCGGAATTATTTCTCAACCCATACCTAAAAAAAATTACCGAACTTGGGCCGGGTCCGGGTTCAAACCCGACCCATTGATAGCCCTATATGACATCAATGGGTGACCGAAAAAGTTGACTTTCATCAAATACGACTTAGAGTGCCGCTTAATATTGACGCTAAATGGACTGATCAATTGGCATTCAATCTTAAGACTGCAACAGAAATACCGGTTCTTGGATCCCATTTAAATAGGTTTTTTGGCCACAGTTTTATTTAAAATAAATTAAACAGTTTGCTGAAAGTTTCAACTGGATTATTCTCCAGAGTTTGAGCGTGATAATACCCACCATGTAAGAAGCTATGGTTTCTTACCATACCCTCAGTTTCGCCGGAAGTAAAGATTCATGTCTGATGGAAATTTTGTGTTGCTTTTTATTAAAAAAAAAACGATGTATAGAAGGCCAAATTCTGATTTCAAAAGATACTATTCAAACATTATACCGTTATGAAAGAAAGAAATACGGAGTGATGCTACTTTGAAGGCTTGAAAAAAGTGTTGATATCGATACAAGTAGTTATGGCATGCTCTTCCTGGAAATTAAGGAAGTGTTGAGTTAATTGAACTGGCTAAAGAAAAATTCCTTGTACTCCAATTTAAATACACATATTTTGATATTTGTAATA